AGTAGAAAACTTCGAATAGTTCTTTTTTGTTGTCAAATCTTTGGCATTCCTTAACATTTTTCATCACTTTCTCTTGAAAAAGTCTCATGCAGAGGTCTGTTTTCAGTGTGAAACTTTTCATATTTCAATGCATCACAACATTGCATAAGACTGATGATTTTTGTTCTTGTCCTGCTCTTATAGAGGTAGTTAAAACAACAAAAAAGAATAACTGTATCAACTAACTGTCATGTATATAATATGAAATGAAAAAACATCAATTATCGAATTTTCATTAATTGCCTTGCGGACTTTATACAAATAAGCAATAATAAAACAGCATGAAATTAGAGTAAACTTACTATATTACCCTAATCCCATCCCCCTAGTTACTCAGATCTTTGAAAAAGGACACCTGAATTTTGGGTTCTTTTAAGCATCTGGATATGAAGCCTTCTTTATGTACAAATTGCTTTTCCTTGTTCATATCTTTTTATTTTTTTTATTTTTTTTTGTGGGTGTCTCTGATACGTGGTTCCTCTCTCCTCATGGTAAACTGGTTCAGAATGATGCTATCTTCCTTCATCAATCTTCTCAATTGAAAGCAGAAACCTCTCTCCAAAATGTCATTGTGCGTGTTTTTTTTTTCTTTTTGGCCTTTGTAGTTGGGACTATCTCTCTGTCTTGGGAGATAGCCTGATGGGCAAACCATTCTGGGGAAGAGCAAAGGGGCCATACTGAATTCCATTCTGTGGCCCCACCATAGACCATCTGCAGATGAAAACAAACAAACCCTTATCAGGACACTTCATTCTACATTCCATTTTTAGGGACAGAATTTAACCACACAGCTGAAAAGTTGATGGTGTCCATTTTTGGTAGGTAATGAGGGAGATTTTCACCAACCTGTACTTTGTGGTCAGATGATGTACAATTACCAAAATCTCCAGTTTGGCTAACTCATTCCCAGGACATGAGTGGGTCCCACTGCCAAATGGCATGAATGTATTGGGTTTTGGAGCAACCTGTCATATATTATAGAGAAAGTTTTCATTTCAGTTCATGGGTTGTAAACAAAAAAAAATAAAAATTAATCAGTAAATATTAACCATGTCTGTGAATTTTTACCTCAAATCTTGATGGATCAAACTTCTCAGGCTCAGCAAAATTGTCTGGGCTATGGTGAATGTTTCTAAAGAGTGGTAAGACTTTCCATCCTTTTGGTATATGGTACCCTGAAATTATTATAGAAAAATAGAATATTAGAATAAAAAAATCATAAATATTGGAACAAAAAAGAATTTTTAACACCTGGGTTGTTATAATTTTGCCAGATTTTGAGTTTTAACAGACCTTCAAATTCAACATCTTCTACAGCTTCTCTGAAAGTAAAAGATAAGATTGAAGCCACTCTGAGTGTTTCTTGAATCACCCTTGAAGTTAATGGCATCTTCTTAGTATCTTCCCAAGTCAGAACCTTCTCTTCAACACACTCCTTTGTTCTCATTATGGCCTCTTGCTCTTCCTGTGAAGTCAAAAGCCAGCACACAGTTTTACTTCACTGCCACATTTACTTATAAAAAAGTTATCTAGAGGATGAGACTTTCGTTATCATAGGGTTGATTGGGTGAGATGTATGTAGTCTTAGCCTACGTGCAGGAAGGCTACACAGAGTAGAATAACCAGTACAGCAAATTAAGATCTTTTTTATGGGGGTAGGAATTGGAGTCCTTACAGTGACAGCTTGTAGGACGGCTGGATTTTCAGCGAGGTACTTGACGATCCATGTTAGGACACTGGCCGTCGTGTCACGAGCTGCGAAGATGACACCGATGATGTTATCGGCTATTTGTTCGTCGGTGAGGCCTTCTTTGTCACCCATGAAAGATCCAAGCAAATCATTGTGATAGTGTTTCATTTCCCTCCTAAGTGAGAGGATTTTGGCCAAGATCTGAGCTAACTCCTTTCTTGCTTTCATGGCCTTGTTGAAGAGTGTCCCCGGAAGGTTAATGGGCATTGAATTGTACCCCTTCTCTAGAATGTAGTAGCATCTCTTGAGATCTTCTCTGTAGAGGACTTCATCCTTTCCAAATATGGAAAGTAATGCAACATTGAATGTGTACTGCAACAATTGATTTTTACTCAGGTCAAACCAGTACCCATTACAGTAATTAAGGTAAATTTCGAAAAAATAATTGATCTCTCAATAATGTTACGTTGACCAAATTTTTGGACCAAATTAATAGCCTAAATGATATTACAACATATTATTTAAAATTTTTATTGAACCCAAATAACATGACACAAAATAAAAAAATCCAAGTCTCATGTTATTTGAGCTTTTGATTTGGTCTAAAAATAGAGAGAAACAGGGAGAAGAAAAACAGAGGACTCTGTTTTTTCTGCTTTGCTCTGTTTTGGGGGGAGAGAGGGAGTGATAGAGCAGATTTGGGGTGACTTACTGTCTTCATTTCTTGGTAAGTGGTGATTAACTGGCCTTCCCATGACTGTAGAGAGTTGATAGCGATTGATTCGATATCCGAAACGATGCTTTTGATTCCCTCGGGCATGAATGCTCTCAGAACTAGCTTCCTCAACTTGGTGTGGTACTCTCCTTGGTGGAAGAAAATTGCTTGTTTGCCCAACATCCTCTCTTTACTAGCCGGAAATGTTGGTTTGAAGAGATTGGCCTTTGTCACAAGCACTAATTTCGCAGCCTCCGGGCTTGAAATCATCACGCAAGGACAACCCAATATGTGAGTCTTTAATATAGAACCAAACCTGCAAAAAATCAGCAAAACCCATCTATAAGCATCACAAAAGCAAGAAACAGAGTAGACAAAAGAAGAGAACAAGATGAATTAGCACCAACTTTTTCACTTTGGAAGCAAAGAAGACATTTGGGTTTTGGGAATAGAGTTGAAATGTTTCTCCAATATAAGGCCAACCCATAGAGCCAGGTGGAAGAGGAAGTTTCCGGTGACCGGAGGCACAGAATTTGAGAAAAGAACGGAGGAAAAAGAGGGAGAGAATGAGAACACATATGCTAAACATGAATGTCAACTCCATGTTACATGAAATAGTACTAACGAGTAGAGAACAGGCTTCGAATCCCATGACCATCCTCCGGACAAGCGGAAAATTGATAATGGGTAGCTCTTTAAGTTAGTAATGAGTAGTAGTGGTTTTCGTAGGTGTGAGGTGAAGTGCACAGCGAGGGGTATATATAGGAAGAGGGGGGCAAAAAATGTGGCCTTTCAAGTACAGCTTGATCCCACATACGGAATCTCCCTCCAGCTCATGTTTTTGGAAGTAAGGAGAGAGAAAGAGAGAGGCAATAGCCAAGAAGGGAGCGAGGGAGAGATGGGCACGTGTGAGTTGGGTTGTGAAAAAAAAAAGTGTGTGTGGGGCGGGGGGGAAGGAGGTTGCCGTGACCGGCAATAGCTATCACGAAAGAGAGGTTACCAAATGCCCTTAATTGGCTACCCGTACCATCATGTAAACTTTTCCTTTTTTTTTTTATTATTATTTTTTTAAAGTTTAAAGGTATTTAGGTCAGTTTATGTATATTTTAATTAATTCTTTCTCTAGTTCGGTCAAAAACAGATCATCGATGCCGGAACTAAAATATTCATAAGGAAGGTAGCCTAAAAAATTGTCAAAATTCAAATTAAAAATATTAAAATTTACAGTTCTATTTCTGTTACGATTTGAATTACCACTTTACTTCCATTTTTTTTCAATCGGGCTATAAAATCTAACTTTGCCCACCATCGACAATTTATGAATTGCATCGACAATTCTCACTTGTTTTGAGAATAAATAATGACCAGGTGACAATTAACACAATCTATGGAACTTGAATAACTCAACTTTTACTTATAAATCGTTGTGTTTTGAATTCGACCCAAATTAAAATATTTTTAACAAGTTACAAATCATTTCATATTAGAGCAGAGAATGAACCCGTCAATGTATTTCGAGTGCAAAGAGTTAAAAAATTATTGTTTTTAATTCTAAGTTTGACTATCACAAAAAAAATTCGATGCATATAGTTTGTGAATTAAGAAAAGAAATATGTTCACCATTTCCTTAAATGAATTGCTTTCAGAGTTAAGTTTTCCGAACTCTTACAAGTGGTATTAGATAATACTTCCAACAACAACAACANAAGAAGACATTTGGGTTTTGGGAATAGAGTTGAAATGTTTCTCCAATATAAGGCCAGCCCATAGAGCCAGGTGGAAGAGGAAGTTTCCGGTGACCGGAGGCACAGAATTTGAGAAATAAACGGAGGAAAAANAAAAAAAAAAAGTCAACAAAATGTTAGCTTGGTTTACTTGCAGCAAGGATAAAATTACAGAAGGGGAAATTTTACACCATCCTTAAGAAATATGTTCTTTTCTGTTTTGAAAACGACTCTAACTCATCTTATTTCTTAGATAACACGTTAATGCTTAATCATAACGNTGCATCGACAATTCTCACTTGTTTTGAGAATAAATAATGACCAGGTGACAATTAACACAATCTATGGAACTTGAATAACTCAACTTTTACTTATAAATCGTTGTGTTTTGAATTCGACCCAAATTAAAATATTTTTAACAAGTTACAAATCATTTCATATTAGAGCAGAGAATGAACCTGTCAATGTATTTCGAGTGTAAAGAGTTAAAAAAGTATTGTTTTTAATTCAAAGTTTGACTATCACAAAAAAATTAGATGCATATAATTTGTGAATTAAGAAAAGAAATATGTTCACCATTTCCTTAAATGAATTGCTTTCAGAGTTAAGTTTTCCAAACTCTTACAAGTGGTATTAGATAATACTTCCAACAACAACAAAAAAAAAAAAAAAGTCAACAAAATGTTAGCTTGGTTTACTTGCAGCAAGGATAAAATTACAGAAGGGGAAATTTTACACCATCCTTAAGAAATATGTTCTTTTCTGTTTTGAAAACAACTCTAACTCATCTTATTTCTTAGATAACACGTTAATGCTTAATCATAACGAAGTAATAAATAATAAGTATATCGATAATAAGCATCAAAATTTTTAGAGATGGATTACAGGTACGTAATTGATGGACTTTAAAAAAAATAAGCAAAAAGTGGATGCCCAGTTACGCCTATTGGGATTTTGTCAACGGGAGAGATTTAAAAAAGGGGTCAATGGCATTTTACGTCCTAAAGTTTTCAACTCCCTCTCAAAGTAACACCATTCCTTTAATTTGCCAAATTCGATGTCATGTACGTCATACGCAAAATCTCTCTCTCTCTCTTTCTCTCTCTCTCTCCCTTCTTTTGACGGAATCCTCTCGTGGGCTATTTTTTTTTTGTTGTTCTTCTTCACGATGAAGAGATCTATCTCAACTATAAATTTTTTGGACTTATGGTTCTAACACAAAATAAAGATATACACAATAACTCACAAAACCAAGTTAATTGAATAAACAAGCGTCTCTTACAAGATTTAGACTTAAAATCTCGAATTAGTGGTCTCTAAAAAGGTTATATTTACAAAATTGTCATGAAACAACCTACTGCGTGTTTTGTTTTTTTTCCGGTAAGTACCGTGTGTTTTGTTTTGGCAAATAGGCATCATGCTAGCAAAAAGCCTTTTTTTTTATGCTTATATGGAACGATTAATCACTACTATAAATCTCATATATCACTATTCATGCTTGCAAAAGCTTAAAAAGGCAAAGAAGTGACAACTTTAGGCCCTTCCCAAGTTCAAAATAGAAGGCAGAAAAGTCCATCAAAATGATGAATGACTCTTGGAGATCAAAGAAGGTCCTCTGCCTCTTTGAGGACCGCAGCCATAAGCCACAGAGCTCAGGTGGTTTAAAAAAGAAGGCCTTGTGGCCATACTGGTACAAAAGTAGGGGTGTTGTCATAAATACAAGTAAATATTCGGTGCAATGGTCATCCACGTTAACATTGACATGTAATATCACAAACTAATTTCAAAGTACTACGTACGACTAAAGAACATCAATATTCTTATAACTGTTAAATGCAGTAACAAGTACATCTGTATTAAATGGGGTCCACTAGATATGCTTGTTGCTTTATAATCGGTTGGTGATATTATATGATAGTTTGGTACTTGAATATTGTCTCAACACATACAGACACCTCTTTAACAAATAAGTTCATGAACCAGTGTTTGCTTTCTGAGATTGGTGATTATGTTATCAGTGTTTCTTATATGTAATTCTTACTTGTTTCTAAGCATCTACGGTAGTTGTGTCAATGTATAGTCAAGTCCCTCCCCCCACCCCCTAGCATAAATCCGATGGACATGTCCAATTTCTCTGAAGTTTAGTTAAACTTTAGAGATTGACAATAAACGTTAGGCGATTACTATTCAGTCACATCATTGGCATGTTTAATGAGATATCCGCAGTTTGCACGATGAACTTGCCGAAGAAATAAAACAAGTGAAGTGGGTTGAATTATTGATTCAAAAAAACTAGAATTAATTTGGTTGACTTACTGTTTAATGTAAGAGGGCCTTATCTCATCCATCACAAGCAGTACTTAACTTTAAGTAGGATTAATTGCATGTATACACATATTTTTGGGGTTGGTAAGTCACACATATATGTAATCTTTAATTCAGGTCAACGATGAGCCAATTGAANGTTGACTTACTGTTTAATGTAAGAGGGCCTTATCTCATCCATCACAAGCAGTACTTGACTTTAAGTAGGATTAATTGCATGTATACACATATTTTTGGGGTAGGTAAGTCACACATATATGTAATCTTTAATTCAGGTCAACGATGAGCCAATTGAAAAAAGCTTGAAAGTGGAAAAAAGAATAGTTGATAAACAACTTAGAAATATTAATTCAAATTTTCTTCGTTAAAATGCATAGTTGCTCGAACTAAATTTTTTGTTCTTGTGTTTTTTAAGGAAGGCTAAAATGCATGTGTGCGCATATCTATATAATAAAATAGGAATGTGTTTGAATTTTATCCCAGTCATATTTTTCACTCAAAACCTTCATCAATCACTTACCTTACCCATCATCTCTTTGTCAGACTCAAACATTAAATCACATTACTTATTTCTATCACATGTTTAATCATTTATATATTTTTTCCTTAAAAACATCACATCACTCATTTGAAATCCGTTTTTTGTCAATTTTACCATATTATCCCTTCCCTTTAGAAGTGAAATAAAACTAAAAATTAAAAAATTTTAAATTTTAAGAGTTTGACTAACATTAAAATTTTTTCCCTCTAAAATAGTAACATTCAAATAAAACAAAAAGTTATCATTTGGACTTAAAAAATAATACATTTAAACACAAAAAAATAGTAACATTTAAACATAAAAAAAAATTAAAACATTCAATATTAATATTTTTAAAAAATAACAACAATAACATATTCAACAAAAATATTAACATGTTTAACAAAAATAGAAACATGTTTAACAAAAACTGTAACATACTCAACAATAATTATATCTCTCAAATTCAAACGCAAAATAGTACCATTCAAATACAAAAAATAGTAACATTGAATATTAATATTTAAGAAAATAATAGTAATAACATGCTCAACAAAAACAGTAACATGCTCAAAAATAATAGTAACATGAACAGTACATACTCAACAAAAACAGTAACATGAACAGTAATATAATAAAAAAAATAGTAACATAAATTTGAATTTTACTATTCAAATTCATAGTAATTTTTTTTTGTATTTAAATGCTACTATTTTTTATTTTTAATGTTACTATATATATATACTAGTTATTGCATGTGCCTGAAGACACAAAATAATAAAAAATTGTAAACAATAAACATATTTGTATTCATATCCAAAATTAAATCACAAATAGATAAGAGATAAATGAATTTAAACATCAGTTGTAATAGAGGTGAAATGTGGTGGGCGGTAGGAGACGGTGATAATTGTGGTGGATAACAATGATCGTGGTGGCGGGGTAGATGGTGGTGGTGGTGATGACAGTGGTAATGGTGGCGGCGACTGCAGTGGTGGTGGCGACGGCGACGGCAATGGTGATGACGACGACGACGGTGGTGGTGGTGGTGGGGCTGGCAGTGGTGATGGTGGCGGGTGGCAATGGTGGAGGCAACAGCGGCGACGGTGGGGATGGCGGTGGTGGTGGTAGTAGAGGTAG